AAAAGTTGTAAACGTTCAGAAATTCCACATTCTTTTATTATACCTAGAAAATACATTATAAAATTACAATTTTATTTTCCTGTCCTGTGTCAATTATACACGTGTTGTGATTTCCTCATAGAAATGYACCAATGTGAATAGTCACAGCCTAATGGTAAAGGTGAAAATTACTCCCCAGCCCCACGTTAAAAAGAATTGTTGAAAATACTTCTGCATCTTCAATAGAACGTGGAAACTAGTGTGTTTCTTCTAGATCCGTTTCTCACCTAAATGAGAAACRACTCTAGAAGAAACCATTACTTTCTGGAGAATATTTTTAGTAATTGCCTAAAGTTACCTTCAAAATTCAAAGGTTATGCTRTGCTTCAGTCTTAGAAATGAAGTTCCCTATAGGAAAAATAGTAGAATGAATTAGACATAACTCCTATGTTCTTATATGAATACATGACCAGTTTAACTCTACACCAAGTACAAACACAAGAATGGGAAGTTATACTCCATGTATGTATGTCAAAATTCATTCTACTGTCATGAATTACCAAAAAGAACAACAAAAAAGAATAAAGGTTATTAAAGTATATCCTCAGATTGCCAAATAAATAAATAGATACCATATATTTAGTTTTAAAAACTTTAAGTGTGATTACACTTGGTTAAAAAAAAGGAAGGAAGGAAGGAGGTTCCCACTAACCTCTTCCATCATGATACACAAAGAGTACGTTTCTGTTCAAGGCCCTTATAAAATACTTTATGTGTAGGCAGGCATAAAAGTTTGCTTTTTAAAAGACAGTTTTGTGAAATGTTCTGCAATTTACCATTGATATACCCAAGGTTTTTCTGCTTAAGCATTTTTTTTCTCCACTATACACTTGATCTTTCAATTGCTCCCAGGCAGCACTAGGGAAGGCATCCAAAGGACCCCTGCATTTTAGATACATGCCTATTCTATGTAGCAGCAACCTCTCAGTTACCTTGGTAATCAAGGCCAATCACCCTAAGGATGGAGTAGCTTCTTCCTCCCCCCACACCATATATCTAGTGGGGTAAGTGATATAAAAGAACACTGCCCTTCAATGGCAGGCACACTAATATTGTTTGGTAGGCATTCTTCTGTTCTTTTTAAAAAATTAATTTTTATTTGACACATAGTAATTGTACATATTTATGGGATACTATGTGATGATTTATATTTATTTACTTGGTGCTGGGGATGGAATCCCAGACCTCCTGCAGGTGCTCTGACCCTGAGCTAGCCCCTGCCCATCCCATGTTTCCATATGTGTACACAATGTGGAATGTTCAAATCCTGGTTTGTGTTTATCTTCTCAAACATTTACCATTTCTTTGTAGTGTAAACATTCAAAATCTTTTCTTCTAGCCTTCTTGAAATACGTTTATTATCATTATAAAGACCCTCCTATGCAATAGCATGCTAGAATTTATTTTTCCAAACTGTAACTTTCTTAGTGCCTGTTGATAATATCCTCAGTTTTCAGAAACTTTTWAAAAAAGTCTCTAAATACTTAGGTGCTTAAAAAAAAAGTAGGAAAATCAAGTCCCTTGGTAGTAGAGGAAGTTGCTAAAATATGGATTAGTAAAAATGTGTAAAGTGCAGCTTCACTTGGAAATAAACCCCAAACAGGCTGAAATCTTACACTTATGAAAACAGTCTCTGGGAAATTCATGCTTATTAAGATCACAGACAGGAAAATTTAATTGTCATTTTACAATGCAATAGCATTGGAACTGAAATAGAAGACATTTTCTAATTCCGTTACCCTAGATCGAGTCTGAATTGAAATGTTCCCTTTGAATCACAAACTGCATAACCAGATGTATGACAGGGTCTCTTGGCTTTGTTATTGCTCAACAGCTCAACCCAGATCCTTTCTTATAAAGGTGATTGTCTTCTGTATCTTTGTGACAAATTCAGTTTTTTTTTTTAAGTTCCTGAGAGTCTTTCATAAAAAAAAAAAAAAAAATAGACATTTCCGGGCGTGCGCGACCCGCGAGGCTGGCGCTCAGCTCTCCACCGTGCGCCGGTACTCGGCCGTCCCGTCGGCGATGATGGCGTCCAGCGGCGAGCGCTTCTTGCGGATGCTGCGCCCAGAGGAGATGAGGTCCGCGTAGCCGCGCTGGTGCGAGAAGGCGTAGGCCGAGCGCCTAGACGACGCGCCCCGGCGAAACACGTTCTGCCGCCGCTTCCACTGCTCCTCGGCCTTCAACCGCTTGCGATGCTTCTGGATCTGCAGAAGGAGGGAGAAGTGGGAGGGACGAAAATACAGGTGAGGGCATCTGGCCAAAAGGAGCAGGGCAGAAAGGAGCGATGGGGCATCTGGGGCGGATGCAGGCATCACGTTGTGTCCCCACCTGTACGGGAGGACATTCTGGCAGCTGGAATTTGGGACGAGTCCCGCTTTCCCTAAGCTAGTGCTCTTTCCATGTCACAGATCAGATTGGTACAGGACGAAGAAAAAACTATGGGCCTCTTGTCCTCGTTGCTACTGCATATTTTTGTCACTGCCAAAGAGAGCTCTGGGGACAACTGAAGGTTGCCTGCCTAACATCTGTTCTCTCCTTTTTTCTAATGAAAGTGATTTTATACAGTTACCCCTCCTCCATACAGCCACATCCCTGAAGGGAGCGGCCTGATTGACTTCCCACCATAACTAATCCAGGAATGGGCCTGGGTCCCAAATCTGGCAAATGAGACCTGAGGGAAGAGTGCTGGGGCCCCTGGGTGAAGCGTTCGGAGGAGCTTAAAGGAAAGCTACAGAACGGTGAGAGCCTCTTCTCCCCACACCCCACTTCCATCTGACACATCAGATGTGATGCTGGGAACTTCTGTGGCGGCTTCCGGCACCAAGATGATGCTAATAATGAAGATACCAGCTTCCGAGGACATAGAAGGACCCACGTTCTTTTTTTGGCAACATTAAGTTGCTTAACCAATGCAGTGTGAATTCTAATTTTCATGCATTATTGTTAAGACATTTTGAGTTCACAGCTTTCTGTTCCGTGTTACCCCAAGGCTCCTTCAAGGTGGTGATATTTTGCTTTAAATAAACAGAGAAAAAACCCAGACTATTTACACAGCAAAATGCTAACACTTGTTAACTTGCAGGGGTAAATATATGAGATTCACTATTTTACTCTCCCTCTTTGTTTACATTTGGAAATTTTTTTTTGTATTTAAATGCAGGCAAACTAAAAATCCCAATCCCAAGCACTTATTTAAGCAAGATGAAGTTAGAGAGGAGGAGTCATAAAAATCATTCTAACCAAACTTCCTATGAGGTTTGAGGTTTGTAGGAAAAGTACTGTTGGGAAACACTTTGGTTTCTGTGGGGGACACTCAAGAATTAGAGGAGGACTGTATCTCTGCATACCTTATCACTTTCCGATGGCCAAATGGTCATTGACAAGAAGCGGACAGCAACGACAGGCAATAAACACACTGCCACAGTCAAGATGATAGTCAACCAAATGTACGGCTGCCTCAGGGCATTGGAAGCGGTGCCTGGAAAGAACAGGGGAGTAAGTCACATGGTCCCTTATCCTAAGGACCTAGTTGTATTCTGTAACCTCACATGGATTATCCATGGTAAAGTTTTACAACCAGATTGGCTTCCTCCAAACAGCAATCATTCACCCTTTGTGTATTTTTTAATATACCCAGAAGTTACGTCCAAATATAAATAATGACATTTGTCTGCTCATTTAATTTTGGGATTTAGAAAACACTAACCTGTAAATTGAAATGCAGATGGCAAAAGAACATGTATCCCAGCGCTGTGAAAGTCAAACATGATGCCAAAATAAAGTGCTATGCTTCCAAAAATTGAAAAAGCATTCACAAAAGTCCAGTAAGAAGTATCCAAACCAATCTGTTGGGAAATGAGAGGAAAACAGAGCGCTCATTTGGGGAATTAGCAAGAAAGGAAAGAACTAAGAATTCTGAAAATGGAATTTTGTGTTTTAGGCATGATTTGACTTGAATACTGAGCAATCAGAAACCAAACTATCCTTGACTCAGGAATGAAATAGGGTTGGGATAAGGGACAAAAATAGCACTCATTTTATAAAGTGGTAGAAGTTCAATTGGAGGGAGAACGGACTGTGCACGCCAGCCTATTTATAAAAATACAGGTGCCAACAGACACAGTTGAGGGAAGCCACACACCTGGAAATTGACAGTTATTATAAGAGCCGAAGCAACAGTGACAGCAAAAGACTGGTAGTCTGAAGGTGCTTCTCCATCTTGTCCCACAGTTTGCAGATAAGCTCCAAGAGGAATGAAGAAGAGGACCATGGATGTTAAGATTCCATGTAACAAGCTGATGAAGAATTTCTTGTAGTTGAATAGTAAGTCTCTTTGTCCCACTACATACAACCCAGGGAATCGGAGGCTTAGTTTGTCACTCACATCCTTAAGGAGAAAACAAAATTAGAGTGATATACTGTCCATCAGGTCAAGAAGTCAGAGATATGCTGCAATCTGTATCTCAAAGAATTGTGACTTGCTGTTGAGTTCTAAGAAGACAAACTGAGTGGAATAAATCCTGCAATATTTCTCTTGTGCTGAGATCAATCATAGCTTTAATCCACCATTATTTAATAGATATTTAATATTTAATTTAGAGAGGGACTAGGTAGGACATTATTATTTTTCTGCTTATGGAAAATGTTAAAAATGTAAAGAGAATTTTTTTTCTTACTTCCGTTGAGAATATATTTATATTCTCTCTCTCTGTCTCTCTCTCTGTCTCTCTCTCTGTCTCTCTCTCTCTCTCCCTCCCTCTCCCTTTCCCTTTCCCTCTCCCTCTCTCTCTCTTTTCTTTTGTGGTGCTTGGGATTGAACCCAGGGCCTTGTGCATGTGAGGCAAGCACTCCACTAACTCTACCATCTGAGCTATATTGCCAGCCCCTTTAGAGAATATATTTATATTGCTTTGAATTCTTTGGGGAAAAATATTCCCATACAAGTTGGTAAATTAATTTTTAATTATTACCTTTTATTTATTGAGGCACCTTCTCTAAGAATTGCTACTAAATAAAATACAGACTAATTTGGGAATTAGACACATAAATTTTGGAAAGTGTTAAAATTTATTTTTAAAATGAGAACATTACTAATATAGAGATAGACTAGACTCTCAGGTGTCTAAGCAGTCAGGTCTCAGTGTCTGAAAGGAACATGTAAGCACTGCCAATGAATTCAAGTCACAAAAATCTTCCCTTTTTTTATTTTATTATGAAACAAGAAGTACAGCAGTTGTTGCCTGACAGCAAACTGTCCTAGGGTTTATTCAGGACAAAGTGAAAACCAGAAGAATGCACTCAAGTGTTTGCTGTGACCTCTCTAGCGGGAGTTCTACCCAAGCGCCCCCAGCCCTTGGCTCCTACCTGGTCGAGCAGCCCCATGAGGAGCACCGGCAGGCTGGAGTACAGCACGTTGTACAGTGTGATGAACCAGTCCTCGTACGCGGTCTACGGGAGGATTAATTAATTACAACACTTTGTGAAACCAGTTTAGAAGCACACAAGTACTATTTAAATTTTTTGGTTTCCTTTTATTTTGCAAGGCCAGATTTCTATAAAACGATTTTATAAAATAGAATACAGTTGGAGATATATATAAAAACAAAATAGGCTTCTGAAAGGGATAAAGAACACTGAGCACTCTGATCCCCTACATGGGATAGAGGAAACAGGCTTACTCCTGACGAGAGTTCTGTGCAGTTCTGCCTGGAAACAGGAAGTAGGCCCCACTCTGCCCAGGCTCTCCTGTTGCTCAATCTGAGACCCCCCTGACAGCACAGCACTGTGGCATAGCATCAGAGAAAGTTCAACACTATGGACACTGACTCAGGTTCATTTTTACTCATGTTATTTTTCTGCTACATCACTATTTTAACATATTAAATATGTGCCCCCCTCATTCATCAAAAACTAGGAAAGAAAGAAGAAGCCACCACCRCCATCAAATAGAGGAGTGATATTAATAGCGCTATCATTACCTACAATTTCTATATCCCTTTGCCTTGGTCAAAGAGAATATTACAGATTCACAGCTGAACAATCTGTGATCAGTATTTTTAATAACAAGGTAACATGAAAAAATAATCTAAAATGAAGAGAAATATAAGCAAATCCTGTATCATCATCCAAAGTAAATAAAAATATTTTTAAAGCACCAGAAACATTCTAGAAAAGTAAGTTATACTCTTAATTATGCTCCCAACTGTGAGAAGACACAGAACTCAAAACTACAAAATAAAGAAACAAATTTATGCCCGTTGTGGTGGAGCACAATTGTAATCCCAGTGACTCAGGAAGCTCACAGCTATGGGATAGATGTTAGCCTCAGCAGTTCAGTGAGGCCCTAAGCAACTTAGGGAGACCCTGTCTCAAAATAAGAAACAAAAAGGTCTGGGGATGTGACTCAGTGGTTAAGTGCTCCTGGGTTCAATCCCCAGTACCAAAAATAAATAAATAAATAAATAAATAAATAAATTTGTTTTTGTAGAACTAGAGTTTTATTCACTTAAGAGAAAAGCTCTACTAAATAAAAAGTAATGAAAAAAAATGTTATTTTACCTGTGCTGAGTAGCCATTGAAGAAGGAGTACCAGAAATGAACCAAAGTAAATGCAAAGTTTTTATAAAAGAAATATCGAAGGAACTTGCACATCCTTATGTAAGACCACCGGCCATGCACTAGCAACAGCCTCTGCAGATATCTGAACTGAGCAAAGGAATAGTCACTGGACATGACGGCTTGCATTCCTTCTTGTCCACTTATTCCAACACCAATATGCGCAGCTATATGACAGAAGGAGAAAATACTGAGGATCATAAGCTGATTTTAAAGCAAAACATCCGATAATAATAATGTTTCCACAGCAGGACCAGGAATGTAGCTCAGTGGTAGGGCGTTTACCTTGAATGCACGAGGCCCTGTGTTCAATCCCTAGCACCGTGGGGTGGGGAGGAAAGTTTCCACAGCAAAACAAATAACAAAGGTGTACAATTCATGGAACAATATGTACAAAAGCTCTTTGCTCCCCATCTTCACCATCCAGCCTGTGAACCCAACTCAAAGTCGGAGGCACATGTTGCTTAACAAAGCATGAGAGAGCCTCCATAAATATTTGTGAAAGGATTGGGTGGGTGGTGAATTCCATTTGGATTATCTGCCCAATTTAGAAGCCATCCCTCCCACCCACAGGGTGAGCCCCAGGCATCCTCTATACAATCTGTGTCCCTGTCTCCTTGACCATATCTGGGTCAGCCATCAGCAGATATATGATCTGGACAGATACTACAAATGGGCTTTCTCAATCTGCTTTCTATCCCATTCTAACTGGTGAGGTAGGAAAGCAAATTAAAAAACCCTATATTTCCCGGATTGCCTCACACCTAGGTTCTTGTGAATCAGGTTCCATTGCTTAGACCCACTTGTGACTTTAAAGCAAAGTGAACCCCTTTCCTTTTTGAACTCTGGAGCAGAGTTCATATCCATTCCTCAGCTGTCCTAATGTTGATAGGCAACTGCAAAGGCTTCTTAACTGGGAAGCTGTTCAGAGCAATATCAAAGGTAAAAACTCCTCTGGAAAGTGGCCCGGAGGTCAGAGACTCAGCCTGGAACTTGCTTCTCCAGTTCATCCACAGCTTTTGAAGGCACCTAATCTGCTACATTAATTGGTTCCTACAAAAAGTACACACGGGTGTGTTTCCTCTACTAAATCCTAACTGGTAGAAAGACCTAGCTGGGCAAATCAGTCTCTTTCTTGATATTCTAGAACTACCATTCTGGAGTTTGTGTCTGGAAATTTAACATGTAAATTATTGAAGTGAGAAATGAATATATTTCTTTCTGAAGGATTATGAGAGGCAGAGGAATAAAACAGGGAAGGAAAATAGACAGAGGCAGTTAGACAGACAAGACACTAGGTTCCTAGTGCAACTCTAGATCCTGATCCTAACATCTTCCTTAGGCCTGCTTTTTTGGGGCAGTGTGAGGTATCTTAGTTATCTTTTATAATTAATTAATAATTGTTTTTCTTAAACTCATTTTGGCTGTCTTCCAATACTTGTAATCAAAAGAGTTTTAACTAAGACCCTCTTCAACTCTGAAAGGCTTATTCAGGACATCATTTCTTACAAAGGGGTAGGTTTCTAGAGTGGATAAAAATTAAAAGTCATAATTTTGTTCATCCTTCCAAAAATCATTAAAAAACATTTTCGAGTTAAAAGAATTGTGAATTTTATTGGTTTTAAAAGTCATGAATGTAAAGACCAATAGTGAGATCATTTGGAGAAAATGTGTTGGAGAACACAACGACCCTGGCTCGGACCCTGGGAAGTGACTGCCAACTCCGAAGAGTTGCCAACTAGAAAGAAGCTTCAAAAACCCCACCCTAATTGCAGAACTCAAGGTCTGGAAAATTCAAAATAATTGTCCAAACCTATGTTTTCAATTATACTTTGCAATTCTCAAAGAAGATATTATATCTCATTTGGCATTTATGATCTCTTTCAAAACACATACACACACACATTTCTTATGACCAGTTGTGACTGCCAAATGCTCTTTCCACCAAACCATGGCCCTTTTTCCTTTCATGAACAAACCACAGAGGGAGTACAGAGGAGAGGAACCCCGTCCAGGCCCTGGAACCCAATTCTTCAACCTTTTCACTGTGYAGACCAAGGACAGCATGTGAAATGAACACTGGCATGGTTCACATGGTAACAGGAGGCAACTGAGCAGATGCACTATATAAAAACTGCCCCTTTCCCCAAAACATAAGTATAAGATTTTCCTGAAGTTCCAAATGGAGTGTGAAATTCTTCGCTGGGAGGCATGCCTTCAACATTGCTCAACAAACTGAATATTAAAAGGCTTTATTTAATCTCTCTGCCTTCATTTCATCTCTCCTTTAGTTCATGTGTACTCTCGGGGTCTTTGTCCCCAAAGAGTCGACCACAGCCTAGCTGGTATAAGATATCTCCAGGCACAAAACAGGAAGAGGGCAGCCTCTGAGAGTCTATAGACACTTGCTAGGGACAAAACGTGGTGGTCAGCAGGGCACTGTGGCATACACCTGTAATACCAGCGGTTCAGCAGGCTGAGAAGTTCAAAGTCAGCCTCACAACTTAGTGAGGCCTTAAGCAACTTAGCAAGACCCTGTCTTAAAATTAAAATAAATAAATAAACAAAAGGGGCTGGGGATGTGGCTCAATACTTAAGCACCACTTGGTTCAATCCCTGTTATCAAAAAAAAAAAAAAAAGAAAAAGAAAAGTGTTGTTCATGATTCCCTCCATTTCTACTAGACTATACTGCAAAACATGAAGCATGTTAGCTAGTGGTCAGATTGCTTTCAACACCTGAATTTCCAACAGTTTTTCATCCTTCCAAACAGTTTCTTCCTGTATATTGTTCTCAAAATTGTTAGAGATGGAAGCCTTTACAGAGTACAAAAAGGTACCAATACTGTTTTGATAACTTCTAAGACCTCAGCTTCCCATAATCTCATCCCAAATACATGATCTGTAATTTATATATAAAAGCACCTAATATATAACAGAGCTTAATGAAAAATGTAAAACAACTTAAGAAAAAGAGTTCATCTTGGTTGACTTTGTTCTACCTCCTCGGTATCAAATGGTTGACTCAGAGGAAAAAACCCTCCAGCTTAAATGGTATAATATCATGATAAATCTGCAAGGCAAACGATCCCCTGCCTCTTTCCTCCCCAACATCTAAGAGTCTGCATTAAATTGAATAAAAATAATGTTTGAGTTACCCTAGTTATGTCAAGGATGTATAATGGAAAATAAACTAGAGCTGGCTACAGAAGAAAGAAATAGATTTAATTCAGAGCAAAGAATGCCACTCATATGATAGGACAAGCACATGCAAAAAGCAGTGGAGAGGAACTAAGCAGCTGGTGGCAGCAGATATATGCATTGATAAAAAAGCAAGAAGACATACGTCATATAGATGACTCCTGGGGAGGAAGATAAAGTCGGAATATTCTTAGTGTCTATCAAGGAGAAGAAGGAGGAGGAGGAGAAAACTGTAAGAAAAGAAAAAGATGGCCTCATGAGTCACAACATAGCTCAATTAAGATCTAGTTATATATAATGCATTTAAAATACCCAGCACAACAAGACATGCTTATATATGTACAGTCATATAATAGTTCACCTTAATAACAACAAGAATAATAATATCATAGAGCTAGAGGTGACACTGGAGATATGTTTCTTGTTTTCAGATGAAAAGACAGGCCTGATCATAAGCCCAAGTGCTAAGGTCTCATTAGTTTGGGTATTTTCATTACATGATATAAACTGAGCATCCCCAATTGCAAAATCCCAAATGCCCCAGTATCTCCCAAGTTTTTGAACAGCATTTAAAGAGTCAGGTCTATGCAAATTTTCCCAAATTGAAAATTTCTAAAATCTGAAACATTTCTGGTCCCAGGCACTACACATAAGGGTTATTCTACCTGTCTTCTCTTATAGTGCTATAGGGAGAGAAGAGGACCAGACTCAGACATGGGCTGAGGGCCACAGGTTTGTTGTGCCTGCTTTACTACCAGCACAACTTTATTTCTCCACACTAGAACTCAGTCCATTAAACATGTTACTTCAGACTCCTATGAGGTGACCCAACAGTGAAGTTCCAATAAATTTGCAAAAGGTAAGAAGAAAGCCCTCGAGAAATGCTCAGATGAGAGAGAATAATATTCCCAAAATGAATACCAGAGAGAGTTTACCAGTTTATGCTGAGCTTAGCAGAACTGTTTGCAAAACTTATTAAATATCAGGGTTTTAAATAAGCTTAAAGAAATAAAGGAGAAGATCTGGCAAGAGGGGGAAAAAAATCACACCAAACAGGAAAAAGTAGGAAACAAATAATGATAAATTCACCCTGGAGAACTCATCTTCTGCTGGGCATCCTAAGTCCCTCTGTGAGTCCTGCCCACTCCTCCTGGATAGACTGTTGGCTTCCCCAGGGCAAGGGCATGGGCACAGGTGCGACCCAGTGCCTTCCTTAACAACCTGCTTTATGAAAACTTCCACAATGAAAGCTGAAGAAATGACCCCCCGCCCCCCAAAACCCTCCTGCTATTTCTAGTTGGGTTTTATGGGCCACCTGGTCGCAACTCACTCTTGATCATGTTCACGTCGTTGGCTCCATCTCCAATGGCCAGTGTGATGGCCTTCTTGTACCTTTTCACCAGGTCCACCACCATGGCCTTCTGCTTGGGAGTGACGCGGCAGCAGATGACAGCGCTGCACTCGCAGGCCAGGTCCACAAAGTTCCTCTGCCGCTGCTCTTTCTTAGCTTCGAGCCTTCTCTTGCTTTGGGTTCGAATCCGTCTCTCTTCTTTTGTCCTTGGGAACTTCAGCTTCAGAATCTTATTTGTTTTGGTCTTTTTCTCTAGAAGAATCTCATTCTGTGAAATCATGGAGAGGACTGAGGTCACTTTACTTTTTACACCAAAGGTATCATCATTTCCAAGACTTAAGATGCGTGAAGGAGAGTTTGTGGATTATATCATTGGTTATACTGTTCTGATGACAGAACATTTTTGACATAAATCTAGAGAATACAAAAATCTACAAATAACAAAATGAAAATTACTCATGAATTCATAAACCAACATAACCACTGTTACCCGTTTGGTATAATTGCTTTCATATGTCCTGTAATATTAAGTTTCAAACTTGGGAAATCACACCTGAATTTATAGGCTAAGAGATTTTTAAGTTGGCAATTAACAAATATGTAACACCATCTAAAATTGGTCCAAAGTGAACTTTTTTCATTTGAGCCAAAGACCCAGACACACTAATGGTACCTACCAGCCAAGAACCGGTGATGACCAAAGCTCGGTTTTCACCAGGTGGGAAAAAAGGTTCGTACACAACAGGTGCAAATTTTGCATAAACTCCACCTCTGTTTCTCTGGTTTTCCACCCTTGTATGAAGAAGAGAACTGGAGAAAAATAAATTGAAGTACTTAAAGTACAAAACCATAAACAGGCCCTACACTATTAGATAATTTTGACATTTTTTTTAAAGAGAGAGAGAGAGAGAGAGAGAGAGAGAGAGAGAGAGAGAGAGAGTTTTTTAATATTTATTTTCTAGTTTTCGGCGAACACAACATCTTTGTATGTGGTGCTAAGGATCGAACCCGGGCAGCACACATGCCAGGCAAGCACGCTACGGCTTGAGCCACATCCTCAGCCCCAATTTTGACATATTTAAAAAAAAAAATTTAAGACTTATCATTTTATCTATTTTTAAGTGAAATCATATAGTATTTATCATTTAGTGACTGTCTTATTACATTTAATAACGTCTTCAAGATTCATCTATATTATAATGTATGTCATAATTTTTTTTCCTTTTTAAGGACAAATAATATTCCATTTTTTATTCAACGATTCTTAACACTGGTAGACACCTGGGTTGCTTGACTCTTGTGAATAGTGCTGTAATAAATATGTGTATGCATATATCTCTTCAAGACTCTGCTTTCAATTTTTWAAAATTTTTTTTAGTTTGAGTATAATACTCAGAAGTGAGATTGCTGGATCACATGGTAACTCTATTTCTAATTTTTTTAAGGAATCCCTAAACCAGTTTTCATAGTGACCATGTCATTTTACATTCCCACCAACTGTTCCGGTTTCTGCACAGCCTCACCAACACTTGCTATTTTCTTTTTCTTTTTTGATTGTCCCCATCCTAATAAAAATGAGACGATATCACTAGTTTTAATTTGAACATTGTTTCACAAGCTTTTCAGCCATTAGCATATCTTCCTTGGAGGAATGTCTTCTAAAAATTCTTTGATCCTTTCTTAATTGGGTGACATACAGTCTTATACTATGTGGCACCAAGTTCTTGGTACTTCATAATTTGCCAGAAGCAACCAAAGGAAGAAACCGGTCTCACTGTGTTCATAAGCAACAAAGGGAAGGCAATTTCCATCTAAATTAATACCCTGGCTGCTGTTTGGCAGAGAAAAACGAATTTCCCCATACAATTATGTCTGCTTTTAAAAATTCTTGATACTTTATATCAACAAATCATTGATAAGATGACATGTAACACTTCTATGTGATAGAAAAAATGAGTCATGGGATTTTGGAGGGAAGGGGCCTTCTTGCACAATCTTTTCATGTTGCAAATAAAGAAATCAAGCCAAGAGAGGTGATGTGATTTGTTTGCAGCAAGTTGATGGGAGACTTTCTCTGTTCCTCATGCACACCTCAAAAGCAGGTTTCTCAGATTTGACACTGTAGATGTCTTTAGACAGATAATTCTCTGTTGTATGTGGATGCTTATTTTAGGAAGGACACGTGTAGGATGTTTTATAGCATCTCTGGCTCAACCCACTAGAAGCCAGTAGCACTCCTCCTCCCCTGTTGGGACCCTGAAAGATGTTTGCAGACATTTCCAAGCAATCCCTGGAAAGCAAAATAACCCCTTCTCCCTGATGAAGAACCATCACAGTAGAAGATTAGGTATTTATGATCCCTCTTCCAAATTCATTTAATTCTCACTTTCAGTTGGAAAGTCAGTTAAAAAATCAAGACAAATGATAAAAAAACTGAAAGTGAAGAAAATATGAATTTATTTAAGCTATTTTATAGGAATCATCATTTCAGGCACCATCTAGAAAGATAATTCATCTCTCTATAAAGGGAAACTTGGCTACAAGCATGATCATAAAATTTATTATTTGCATAAATTTTATCTTTTAATTTAGCTTAGGGTCCACTTTTAAGAGACCAGAAATTTGTTAAAACCCCCATCTACAAAAAATAAACAAAACCATATGGTAATTAACCATATTGTTTGCAATCGAAAACTACTTAAGTTAACATATGAAGCATTTATTTGTCCGTTGCTACCTTTTAAAACCTAAAAGCTCAAAGAGGCATGGTTTATGTGCCTCTATTCAAACAGGGCTGATTTAGATGATAAGACTACCAATTTTGTCTAATCTAGCAGAGTGGCCTCTCATACTGGAATTGACTCACAAAAGCTTTATTATCATCATTAGAAAGAAGACTAGTAAGGACCAGCAGCCCAGCAAGTGTATACATTAACAGCTTAATCTGACCTTGTGCCAGCCTGAGACAGGCACTATAGGATAAAGCTTGAGGAATAAGTGGAACTGTAAAGCCCATCATGGTAACTGTGTGCATTATATGTATAGCTCTGTAACAAGACAGGGACTTTTGCATCATATGTTTCCAGGTCTTCTGCAACTCTGATTCAGAGATGACCAATGTTCTAGCATAAGCTAAGGTTTGAAATACCAGGATTGCCTCCTCTAGCTAGACTATAGATGTCAATGTAAGCCTTCCAAACTTTCCTTCTGGGACATGGTGGTGTTTTTCTTTTTCTTTTTTTTCTTCCCATTTCACTTTAAAAAAATAAAATCCCTCCAACAGACATAAGTCATATTAATTTGCTAATGATACCATAGGCTCAGTTCCCTTTTTCAGCAGACAAAAAAGCACCAAGGGCTCTAAGGAATGGAGGAAGTGGCCTCGAAAGGTTTCCTTAAAACTAAAATGGGATCAAAATAAGACTGCACCATGATAGCTGGGAACTGCCCGATGTTCTCTTGCTTCATTTAAGCAGGAGGAGACTGTCTTCGGTAACATACCCCCGCCCCTATTTCTCCATCTGTGCTGCCTCTGCCACTAGTGTTGCCTTTGTGAAATGAGCAGCTGCATGATCTCATGCCACAGGCCCTTTACTTACTTTATATCTTCCCCATAGCAGATAGTGGTGTCTTCTGTCAGAAGTTCACAAGCAAATCCTATGTTTTCTGCAGTTTCTACAACAGATAAAATCAAGTCCAATGTCATTCCTATTGTTGAGTTGAATAATTTCTATCTACTGCAGGTTGAGCATCTACTATTTGAAATGCTCAGGACCAGAAGTATTTTAGATTTTTGAATTTTTTGTTCTTTTTTTATTTTGGAACACACACACACACACACACACACACACACACGGGGATGCTGTGATGATGAGACACAAATCTAATTATGAAATTTATTTATGTTTTACATATTCCTTATACCCAAAGGCTGAATAAGCTGAAGGTAATTTTTTTTGTTTTGTTTTTGTTTCGCAGTAGTGGGGATCAAACCCAGAGCCACTTACATACTAGGCAAGTGCTCTATGACTAGCCACATCCCCAGCCCCTGAAGGTAATTTTATAGTTATTTTTAGTACAGGTGCATTTTGGCTGTGACTGTTCACATGAGATCCTAAGTGTGGAATTTTCCACTTGTGGTATCATGTCAGCACCCACAAATGTTTCAGATTTTGAGCATTCTGGATCTCAGATTAGGGATACTCAACCTACAATGATAATTTCCTTCAATTCATGAACATGATCAGATTCAATCAAATATGCTATTTTCTATAGCAGTGCGTAGAACTCTTATAAATAAGTCAATTCTTTTCCCAACAATAAGTGAAAGTCAAAATCTGGTTTGAGATGTTTTTAATAATAAATTGCTATATTATCAACTATTTAAATTGATTATTTAATAAATGAATGTTCACTAAAATACTGACATGCTCTGAACATGTTGTTATAAGGGGAAGGATAATGTTTCCATCAGTCCTCACATGGGGTGCCTACTAATGACACGTTCCCCCCTTTTTTTTTCCATAACCACCCATTTGGTAGTTATTAAAGTCCAGGGCTGTGCTTTCAGATTGTGTAGCCCATTGTTGATGGCAGAGAAACAGATATTATTCAGTTTCCTGTGAGAGGCTTGCAGAACAAAGTATGGATATCAAACAGCAACTTGTTGAGCTCTAAATTTAAGAATTAAAAACTCTGCTCAGGTATAAAATTTTAACTGTAATTTCCAAGCCATGAAAAGAGCAAGATAACAAGAGTTGATGTCATTCAGCACTTTGTGTTATTCTCTATGCCCCCAAATGGCAAAGCACTAGGAAGACAGAAGGGATCACCTTTCAGGATAGGAGTGCACATCTGGCCGAAGAGATAAAGACAACCAGCAGGATGCAATTGGGAGCTAAATCATAAGGAATAGATTCTGCTATAGAGGGAGTTCAGAGAAGGACATAATCAGGGAGGGATGGGATAAGAGGAGGGTTTTAAGATAAAATCTCTCCTTCCAAAGAAATAGCTGGTGGCCCTACAGGATGGAAAGTCTGAGAAAGTCACCGGGGGCAAAGGAAACAGTAGTTCTAAATATTTGTGAATTAATAGATACACTTCCCCACATAAATGAGTTACCCTTTTTGTCTCCAGTGAGCACCCAGATTTTAATGTCAGCTTTTGCAAGTTTTGATATGGTTTCTGGGACCCCATCCTGCAGTTTATCTTCAATAGCTGTAGCTCCCAATAGCTGGAATGTACATTTGAAAAGAAGGAATTAGCAAATAAACCAAAAACTGTCTGTAGTTATAGTTTGCCAGCCTCTAAAGAGAAGGGCTAATTATGTACCCCAATTGGTGTTCTACCACAGCCAGTAGCCAGCATGGCAGGGAAGGCTACCACCATGCTTCACACTTACTGCAAAGCAAAACAACCAAATATATTTTTTTTTCTTGGAGAATGAACTAATTAATTAGCTGAGACAAAAAAAAATGCAAGTACAAAATCAGACATTAAAACCACACTATAATTGTGTACTTGCTGCTTTATAGATATGAGCCCATCCCTCTGGCCAAAGGGAAATACTGGCTATTGAACATTTTTCCATTAATCTAAACTCTACAGGCAATAAAAACTAAATTTTCAAAAATTTCATTTAGAAATGGTGGGGTTTTTTTTTGTTTCAATATTTTTCAAAACATAAATTGTTTCAGTAATTTTCACAAATAAATAAGTGCTGGTTTGACATCCTATAAAATCATAATGCATTTTAATAAGYGATATAAAAATCATGGAATTAGATTAACTCAGAACATTTCTCTATAGGTTTTTCTCTTTTGGTTTCTAAAATGACCATGTCTATTCTGTTATCAGAACAGAAGAAATTCAAATGACCTACTTTCTTTGTTCCAATTTCATTTGCTGGAGTTAGAATAATCTTTCAAGCATGAGATCAAAATGTAATAAAACTTAATAAAAATTTTGCTTCTGTTTAGAATATCAAGGAAAACATTATTAAGGTTAAAACTCACAATTAAGTCTCTTTCAATCTCCTCGTATACTTTATCTAAAGCTTCATCTCGGTTTGTTGAGGCCACGCTGGCTGCCATAAACTTTTTATTCCATTCTGCAAATTCTTTTTCTTCAATTTCTTTGTAGCAAAGGCACAGGGTTCTAAGAGTTTCATTCGCAAAGATCTGTTTTATTTAAAAGACAATCCACCGATGCAAGAATATTTAATTTTATGTAGCTCAAGGTCAAGTTTGAAATCTTACTTTGAAGTAATGTACTAAGAGAATTTTAAAAGAGACTATGAAATGTGAAGGATTCTACAGAGGAATTAAACTTTGTGTTATAATAGACTTTGTTTTTTGTAAGCATCACCAGGGTTCCAGGACTATATTTCTACTTCCCAAATTGGTTAAAGTGAAAAGTCTACCTTTCTTCTAAATTAAGTCACTAGAGTTAAAAAAAAAAAAAAAGCTTTTTTTTAATGACTAAAAATAACAGACAAAAGATGTAATGATGTTGTAAATACAGTCCCAATAATTTTAACTTGTTCCCACAAACTGTGTTATAAGTCCAATCAACTGTGAACTTGCAACCAAACACTAATCCTCAAACCAATTCTAAAATCCATGAGCCATTGTTAAATCTGAGATCAAACATTCTAATGAAAAATAGTATTTGGAAATTTGAACAGATTTAAGCCATTTTTAAATAACTTTAATATGAACCAGTAAAAATCTTTTATTATTTCATTGTTACTTCTTATCTAGCCAAGATGTCAGAACTGGCCCAAGCGAGTATTCACTTTTCAGAGATTTTTTTTTTTTGAAAGGTTCTATATTTGGTTGATTAGATTGACACTGTTGCACTCCCATGAGAATTCATCCATTTTAATTGCATTAGCATCAGCATCAGTACCTAATCTGAAAACGTGACCCCACTTGGTAAACAACAGGTTTATTAAGCTTCTCTCTGAACACCTTTGGCAGGCTCTGAGCCTCAACTGATGGTTAAAAGGAAGAAACCACCCTTTATTAAGTACCTCCTAAGTGCTGGGAATTGAGCGAGATGCTTTCTTTTACAATGACCTGCCATGGTTCTAATTATTTCCTTCCTCTTTCACATGGGGGATTAACGATGCATATGATATGATGAATATTCTTTTCCCCCCACACAAAACTACTAAAGAGACTGAACTGGGACATGAGTTCTCGATGTACTCCAGACCTCACTGCCATCAGCATGCAGAACCAAAACCATTTGAGGATGGGTGGGCAGTTCCCAAAGTGCAAGTTCAAAAACATTCTAGTGGTGACAATACCAATGGACTGTGCACACACAGCTTCCTAAGATAAGGACTTTGAAGTAATTAAGACCAAACTGTTTTGTGAACAAAGGCGTCAAACTCAATGATTCAGCAGGGGTGGTGTGTGTGTGTGTGTGTGTGTGTGTGTGTGTGTGTACACCCAGACTCTCAGCTTCCTGGGAGGCTGAGGCAGGAGGACAGCAAGTGTCAGGCCAGCCTTAGTGAGCAAGACCTTGACTCAAAATTTAAAAAATAAAAATGACTGGGGATGTAACTCAGTGGTAGAGTGCTTCCTATCACGTGTGAGCCCTGGGGTTTGATCCCCAGCACTGCAAAAACAACAAACACCAGGATCCAGGGCACTGCTTTCTTAACCTCTGCCAAACAGGAATGCCTCCGTTCCTTCCCCTGTACCTAGAAGAGGGTAGAGCTCTGGGAAGCCACAGAGATGGTAAGGGTACAGCTGAGCATAGATATAGCTGGCTCAGGATAACTGGAAGAGAGACTAGCCATTCCTGTGGGAGACCAACCTCGCACATGACTGAGTTA